ATCATACTGAATGGGTGAAAACTGGAAGCATTCCCTTTGACAACCAGCACAAGACCAGGATGCCCACTCCCATTCAACATAGTGTTGGAAGTCCTGGCTAGGGCAATCAGTCAAGAGAAAGAAAAAAAGGATATTCAATTAGGAAAAGAAGAAGTCAAATTGTCCGTGTTTGCAGATGACATGATTGTATATTTAGAAAACCCCATCGTCTCAGTCCAAAATCTCCTTAAGCTGATAAGCAACTTTAGCAAAGTCTCAGGATACAAAATCAATATGCAAAAATCACAAGCATTCCTATACACCAATAACAGACAGAGAGCCAATCATGAGTGAACTCCCATTCACAATTGCTTCAAAGAGAATAAAATACCTAGGAATCCAACTTACAAGGGATGTGAAGGACCTCTTCAAGGAGAACTACAAACCACTGCTCAACAAAATAAAAGAGGACACAAACAAATGGAAGAACATTCCATGCTCATAGATAGGAAGACTCAATATCGTGAAAATGGTCACACTGCCCAAGGTAATTTATAGATTCAATGCTACTTCCATCAAGCTGCCAATGACTTTTTTCACAGAATTGGAAAAACTAAAAATTCTAAAAAAAAAAAAAAAAAAAACCACAAAAACTAAACTAAAAATCTTAAAGTTCATATGGAACCAAAAAAGAACCTGCATTGCCAAGACAATCCTAAACAAAAAGAACCAAGCAGGAGGCATCATGCTAGCTGACTTCAAACTATACTACAAGGCTACAGTAACCAAAACAGCATGGTACTGGTACCAAAACAGAGATATAGACCAATGGAACAGAACAGATGCCTCAGAAATAACACCAGACATCTTCAACCATTTGATCTTTGACAAATCTGACAAAAACAAGAAATGGGGAAAGGATTCCCTATTTAATAAATGGTGCTGGGAAAACTGGCTAGCCATATGTAGAAAGCTGAAACTGGATCTCTCTTTACACCTTGTACAAAAATTAATTCTAGGTGAATTAAATACTTAAATATCAGACCTAAAATCATAAAAACTCTAGAAGAAAACCTAGGCAATACCATTCAGGACATAGGTACGGGCAAGGACTTCATGACTAAAACACCAAAAGCAATGGCAACAAAAGCCAAAATGGACAAATGGGATCTAATTAAACTAAAGAGCTTCTGCATGGCAAAAGAATCTACCATCAGAGTGAAGAGGCAACCTACAGAATGGAAAAAAATTTTTGCAATCTACCCATCTGACAAAGGGCTAATATCCAGAATCCACAAAGAACTCAAACAAATTTACAATTAAAAAAACAACTCCATTAAAAAGTGGGCAAAGGATATGAGCAGACACTTCTCAAAAGAAGATAATTATGCAGCCAATAGACACATGAAAAAATGCTCATCATCACTGGTCATCAGAGAAATGCAAATCAAAACTGCAATGAGATACCATCTCACACCAGTTAGAATGGTGATCATTAAAATGCCAGGAAACAACAGATGCTGGAGAGGATGTGGAGAAATAAGAACGCTTTTACACTGTTGGTGGGAGTGTAAATTAGTTCAACCATTGGGGAAGACAGTGTGGTGATTCCTCAAGGATCTAGAACTAGAATATCATTTGACCCAGCAATCCCATTACTGCATATATACCCAAATGATTATAAATCATGCTGCTATAAAGACACATGCACACGTATGTTTATTGTAGCACTATTCACTATAGCAAAGACTTGGGACCAAACCAAATGTCCATCAGTGATAGAATGGATTAAGAAAATGTGGCACATCACATGGAATACTATGCAGCCATAAAAAAGGATGAGTTCATGTCCTTTGCAGGGACATGGATGAAGCTGGAAATCATCATTCTCAGCAAACTCTTACAAGGACAGAAAACCAAATGCCGCCTGTTCTCACTCATAGATGGGAATTGAACAATGAGATCACTTGGACACAGGGCATGGAACATCACACACTGGGCCCTCTCATGGGATGGGGGGCTAGGGGAGGGATAGCTGTAGGAGAAATACCTAATGTAAATGACGAGTTAATGGGTGCAGCAAACCAACATGGCATATGTATACCTATGTATCAAACCTGCATGTTGGGCACATGTACCCTAGAACTTAAAGTATAATAAAAAATAAAAAGCTAATTTAAAGCCTTTGTCTAGTTTTGTCTAGTGTCTGACATTCCTTAGGCACACTTATTGACTGCTTTTTTCCTGCTTATGGGCATACTTTCTTGCTTCTTTGCATGTCTCATAATTTCTTTGTTGGAAACATGACATTTTACATAATGTGACAACTCTGAAAATCAGATTATCTTTCTCCTGGGTTTCTTGTGGTGGCCACTGATGTCCTTGCTCAGTTTGGTTAGTAGTCAACTAAGAATTAAACAGAGATTTCCTTAAGTGCCTAGGACCAATAAGTCATCTCCCAGTCTTTGAGAAGGGGCTCTGTGTGTGTGCTGAGGCATCCCATCAACAGTTAGCAGGCAATTGACAACTCTACCTTAGTCTTCATATCCAGCTCTAGCAGTGCTTCAAGGTTAGCTAGAAGTGAGAGCTTAGGGACTTTTCAGGTATTTCCCGAGTACATATACAGTCCTGGTCATATGTATAGTTCTATATATGTATATGGTCTTACAGATTTTCAGAAATACTTTGGAGCTTTTCAAAGCCCCCTACAGATATCTCATTCCTGAGCTTTTCTTTTTAAGCTTTTTAATGAGTTTATTATTTACCCCAGTTGTTTGTCCATCTCAGGTAGTTGCAATGCTAAACAACTGCCTCTTGTTTTCAACCAATGACCTTGAGGAAAGGCTGTTCACACTGTATGAACTCTGAGTATATCAAATAAAGACAGCCTTGTAATGAGATCTTCCAGGAAATTACCAAATAGTTCAAATAATGACAATTCTGTGAGGCTTTAAAGGGACTCAGACACCTTTCTGCTCTTTCCAGTAGCTGCCAGTTTTTGATGTGGTGATGAAGGTCTGAAATTCTCTCTGGAACCTCCCAGGTTGTTTTTTAAAATTGATGGTTTGCAACTGGACTTATGGGTCTGAAAAACTTGGCTTGATTACTTAAAGGACTAGCAATTTCACCTTTTGATACTGCCTTTGCAAAAATTCTAACAGTGGGAAAATTATGACAGTGAAAGAGATCTGACCTAACCAACTCCATCTTGCTTCTAACCTCCAGTCTGTCCCTGTTTATTCCCGAGCATAGGCCAAACTAGCTTTGAGAGAAACTTAGTTTATAGGTTAACTTTGAAACAAAGATAATAATAACTTCCTCATGAAATAAACCTCCTTCTTACCTAGAGACCACACTGTCTTTGTAAGACTAATCAATTTGCCATAATATAAGAAATTATTGTTTCAGGAGTCATGCAGCTAGAGGCCATAAGATTCTGAACCTCCCCAGTTGCTCCTAGGCATAACATCACTATTGCAAAACCTAAAATTGGTGCTTGAGATGTTTTTTGGACCCTAAGTTCTGATATACTAGCTGGTGCCCCCCAGACTGGTAATTTGGCCTAACCAGTTTTGCAATCCTACCCAGGAAAAGAAGACAGCAAGAAGAAGCCACTTTCAGCCCCTATGACTTCATCTTTGATCCGATCAATCAGCACTCCCTACTCCCTGATCCCTACCAAATTCTCCTTAAAAGCCCTGGTCTCCAAATATTCAAGGTGACTGATTTGAGTAATAAAACTCTAGTCTCCCATTTAGCTGTTTGTCTGTGAATTAAATTCTTTCTCTACAGCAATTCTCCTGTCTTGATACATTAGCTCTATCTGGGCAGCGGGCAAGGAGAACCCATTGGGCCATTTCACTATAAGGTCTTTCTAGAAAAGATTCCTCTCACAGAGATTGGTAGCTCAAGTTGGTGACACAGCATGGCCATTTGTGCAAATAAGGGCTCTTCTTTCTTTGCACATTGGATGTCTCTCTAACCTCCGGTACTTGCCTGTACTCTCTCTTGCTATACCATATCCTTTGCCTTTAAATAAACACCTATATGAATATACTCTGTGGACTCTGGTGAATCCATGCAAATAACCAAACTTGGGAAATCTTTGCAATGGTATATCTGTACAATATAATACTATACAGCTGCAGAAAAGTATGTGAAATGTATCTGTGGACTGATATGAAAAGATATCTAGAATATATTGTTAAATGAAAATGCAGGTGAGGAACTACAATAAATATAGTATACTGTTTTTCTTGTAAGAAAGAGAGAAATACAAGGGCATATAATTCTATTCTCTTGATTTGCATGAGGAAACACTGGAAGTTTACACAAAAAATACTATTAAAAATGATTAACTATGGAAGTGGTGGAAGCAAGATATCTTAATGTATAAATTTTCATATTGAAGATACTTGCACACACATGTTTATAGCAGCACAATTCACAGTTGCAAAATCATGGAAGCAACCCAAATGCCCATCAATCAACGAGCGGATAAAGAAACTGTAGTGTATATATACAATGGAATACTACTCAGTCATAAAAAGGAATGAATTAACAGCATTTGGAATGACCTGGATGAGACTGGAGACTATTATTCTAAGTAACTCAGGAATGGAAAGAGACTATTATTCTAAGTGAAGTAACTCAGGAATGGAAAACCAAACATTGTATGTTTCCACTGATATGTGGGAGCTAAGTCATGAGGATGCAAAGGCATAAGAATGATATAATGGACTCTGGAAACTTGCGGGAAAGAGTGGGAGGGAGTGAAGGATAAAAGACAACAAATATGGTGCAGTGTATACCACCTGGGTGATAGGTGCACCAGGATCTCACAAATCACCACCAAAGAACTACTCATGTAACCAAATACCACCTGTATCCCCAATAACTTATGGAAAAATAATAATTAAAAAGTAAAAAAAATTCATATTGTTTTGATTTTTGAAACTTATATTACCCACTCAAAAAATTAAAATTTCAGAGTAAACAAAAAAGAAAAGAAAAATAAAGTTATGTGGTCTAAGAGATATAATAAAATATTATAGAGTTTCATAATAAGTACCAAGAAATAAAGATGGAAAAATAATAGACATGCCAGAGTATAAACATAAACAACAAAAGTAAACAGCAGCACAAGATACAAAGCTGAAGTTTTACCTGGGTAGCATGTAAAAGGATTATTGCTTTAGTTCAGGATTTCTGAACAGCAGAACTAATGACATTTTGGGCAGGATACTTCTTTGTTGTGGCAGGCTGTCCAGTAGATTATTAGAGGACAGCTAGCCTCTACTCACTAAATACCAGTAGCACTTCCTCCCCTGAGTTGTGACAACCAAAAATATCTCCAAACATTGTCAAATGAGGTGCTGAGAGTGGCAAGGGCACAAAAATTATGCCCAGTTGAGAATCACCGTTTTCATTGCTCTGAATAAGCAGATTTTCTGAGCAGCTCTAGAAAATGTTTTCCTAGCAACTGGTCTATATTCCTGAACTACTTTTTCATTGAGATGTCAAATATTTCATATAATACTTTTCCAGTTCTTTATTATTATAATCTTGACTCAGCCAGTATGTTATTTTGCAACGTCTTTGGAGTGACATGATTTATCAGAAATATTTTCCCTTTAATAAGATACTTGAACTGCTGAATCATTTGGTGTGACTATTACTTTGAAACTTTTTGTGTGGAAGCCAATTTCTATTTCTTTAATCATATTAGAAAAATAGAATTAAATGCTAATGTCCATATACAATTAATGTACTTAATTGAGGGGAATACCTTTAATATGTTTGAAATAATCGTGTTACTGACTACCTTTCTTTTTTATCTTTCCTTGAGTGTCTGGAAATCCTTCGAAATCCTTCAAGAAATTGTCCACGGGTTGTTAAGGCCAGTAATTAGTTAATTAGTGTCACAGCTGTCACAATCCCAACCTGAACATGATCTAAACTGAGATGCCCCTGCTAGCGCAGTAGCTCACAATTCTGGCAGCACAACTTGTGGTAGGTATATAGAAATAGATGGAGCTTCTCCCTCAGCTGTATTCATGATCTTCTGAGAGTGATGCATGTGGTCATAATTATTTTTAAATATAATCCTTAAGTTTCTGAAGAAAGCAAATCCAAAAAAATAAGTCATATGGTCTTAATGTGAACTGGTCCACAGATTATAGCACAACTATATGCCAAATCTTCTTCCACTTCCCTGTCTTATTCCAGAGGGTGATGGTGGTGGTGTTCATGTGATTCACTTCAGTTGAAGGAACAAGAAAGCACGCATTTCCCAGGAGAATCACCATGGTCTACCCCATCTCCGAACCCAGGCGAAAGGGTTTCCTCATTGAAAATGAGATACAGTCAAAGCAGTAGTAAAGCGAACACCGTTTTATAGCTGCTATGGAAAAAATTATTGTATTTTCGCTGTAACACACACACACACACACACACACTCTCTCTCTCTCTCTCTCTCTCTCTCTCTCTCTCTCTCTGCAGTCTCAAGACAGGATAGTTGAAAATCTTCAACTTGCAGTGGGATCTAAGTACCTTCCCTTCCGTCCCCAGTGCCTCCTGATGTTCGCAATCTCATTTCCAATTCACCAGCGTGCATGAATGCAGACTCCAGATCCAGCGCAGAGCCAAGAATTCGCTCAGGGGCACCAGCTAAATAGCAAACATATGCCATGTCAAACATGTGAAAGCTTCAGCGACTAGGGTACCGCCGGAAACACCAGGTCCAGCCCAGGAATTTCTAGGTGGAAACACTGACCGCCGAGTTGTTTTATTCTCTTTGCTTGATTCAGGCCGGTTTTGAAAGCAGGTGTACCCTCTACCCCGGCTTCAGGAAGGGAAATCCCGGCCCCCGGCAGCTGCAGAGCTAAGAAAAACCATCCCGCCAGGCCCCTTCCTGTGGTAACGCGGTCCTAACCCTGCTCTGCCCCACAACCCCACTTCACCCGGAGACGCAGACGCCAGGCTACCTAGCACTTAGTCGCCTCTTCCTCCAGCCTGGTTTCATAAGCTCTGGAAACCAGGACGTTGTTTCCATCTTCGCCTTCGCTGCCTGGGCCGCATGCCTCCCGGGCTTATTTAGGAAGCGGCGTTAGGGCTACACGTTTGGCTCCAGAAATTTGTTCAGACCGCGCAGCCGACGCCCTGCAGGGTCATTTCCGAACGCATTCCCAAATATCCTGGTCCTCTAGCCCTTACCACCCCCTAGCACACGAAACCCCGCCTGGCGGTGGAGCAGGTGTGCTGCTGGTGGCTCGTCGCTGGCTTGGAGATAGAGGTGCTCCCTACCTGTCCCCTTTCTGACAACACCTGAAACCGTACCGGGGTACATCCCTCATCCAAATCTCCACTTTTAAGGTGTACGAATTCGAGTTTGGCCTGAACGCCCCCTCCCCGTGCCGACCCTGGAGGCATCTTCCGTGGGGTCTTTCTCTTCGAACCCAAAGGGGTAAGCTCCTGGGTGCGCCAGGTCCGCCTTTTCCCTGGCCCTGGCAGGGGGCGGAAGTGGATAGGCTGGGACCTGTGTCTGATTAGCTGGGAGGGGGAAGCCATGGTCCCAACCGCTGTCTGCTGCGTTCCAGTCCGTCCATGCTCTTTCAGGAGGAAGAGGCACTTTACAAGAGAGGAGGGGCAGGGGTCCCAGCACTGAATACCCTGGCCGGGGTTTTGACAGCTGCCACAGTCTCTGAGCTCCTGCCTCGCGCCCGAACCCGGTCCCTGCCATGGGGCCCCCTTCCAACTCAGGCTTCTATGTGAGCCGCGCGGTGGCTCTGCTGCTGGCGGGGCTGGTAGCCGCCCTCCTGCTGGCGCTGGCCGTACTCGCCGCCTTGTACGGTCACTGCGCGCGCGTCCCACCTTCGGGGCTGCCTGGACTCGGGGACTCGGAAGCCGAGTCCTCCCCTCCCCTCAGGCAGAAGCCGACGCGGACCCCGAAACCCAGCAGTGCGCGCGAGCTAGCGGTGACGACCACCCCGAGCGACTGGAGACCCCCGGGGCCCTGGGACCAGTTACGCCTGCCGCCCTGGCTCGTGCCGCTGCACTACGACCTGGAGCTGTGGCCGCAGCTGAGGCCCGACCACCTTCCGGCCGGGTCTTTGCTTTTCACTGGCCGCGTGAATATCACCGTGCGCTGTACGGTGGCCACCTCTCGCCTGCTGCTGCATAGCCTGTTGCAGGACTGCGAGCGCGCCGAGGTGCGGGGCCCCCTGTCCCCGGGCACTGGGAACGCCACAGTGGGCCACGTGCCCGTGGACGACGTGTGGTTCGCGGTGGACACGGAATACATGGTGCTGGAGCTCAGTGAGCCCCTGAAACCTGGTAGCAGCTACGAGCTGCAGCTCAGCTTCTCCGGCCTGGTGTATGAAGACCTCATGGAGGGACTCTTCCTCAACCTCTACACCGACCAGGGCGAGCGCAGGTAAGGGCTGTACAGCCCGTGGCCCCTTTCGGCCCCCGCCCCTGCGTCCCGGTGCAGGCTGCGGGTCCAGCTGACTACCATGTCCAGGTGCGCGTCTGCTGCCTTTTCCAAAGAATCCCCTTGCGACGTTTTATTTATTTATTTATTTATTTATTTATTTATTTATTTAATTTTTATTATACTTTAAGTTCCAGGGTATATGTGCACAACGTGCCGGTTTGTTACATATGTATACATGTGCCATGTTGGTGTGCTGCACCCATTAACTCGTCGTTTACATTGGGTATATCTCCTAATGCAAACTCTCACAAGGACAAAAAACCAAACACCTCATGTTCTCACTCATAGGTGGGAACTGAACAATGAGAACACTTGGACACACGAAGGGGAACATCGGACACCGCGACGTTTTCTTTCAAAGCCAAACAGAGGGCGAGCGCCTCCTTTCTCCCTTTTCCTAAAACCTTACTCCGAATAAAGAGACGGCGGAGACCGCGGTCCTTCCTCTGGCCAGTTTTCAACCCTGTATCTGCTCATCCAGTTTACTTCTATTGCTGCCCCTTTTTAGGTCGCTGGTACCCTAGAAGCTTATCACTTTCTTCAGAAAGCACCTTTCCTCTCTAGCAGGAAATTTCTTCACCCCATTCAACAAACCCCTTGCCCCTCAAAGGTTGGTCCTTGGACCAGCAGCAGCGGTAAGGGAGCTTGTTAGAAATGCAGACATGTGTTCTTTTTACACTCATTTGAGATAATATCTCCTACACGGAAAGTTTCCTGCCCCTGCACAAGAAGAATTGTCTCTTTCCACGCTCTGAGACCACAATACTGTCCTCCGGCGAACGCCGGGGAAATAGCTTAAGTGGGAGATATCAAAATTTATTTTTTTTTCCAACCGTCGATCTCTTTGTCCACTCACACACTGGTGGAGCATTTGCGCCGAACACAACTGCATGTACTTTGCCCTTTATTATTAGAGAAAATGTTCTCAGATGTTTTCTGAGGGAAAGAATCCCACTAAATTACACCCTACACCATCTCGTGCACTACTTTCAAAATTTCAAAGGTTTTTAAAATAAATTTAAAGAGTTGCTCTCGTGGATGTATAATCTGTAACTTTTGTTTTTAAGGGCAGCGTGCTTGGTTTTTCTTTTAAACAATACATCAATGCTTGAAAAACTAGTTTTGAAATTTTCTTATTCAGATGATGTGTTACTCAACTTGTGAAGGAATCTTTTGAAATTACTGTGTAGGTCAGGGTGCAAAATATTTCAGAGGAAAAAATGGAAACACTTTACCTACATATCTGACTTTTTTTTTCTTGCTGTAGGTCGGTAAATCCTCCTCTGTTCACCTACCTCTTCCTTGGTCCTGTTTCAGTGGGACTATGGCCCAGACAAGCTTGCAAAAATGGGAAAGTCCCATTCAATTTTTCTATTGTGTTGCTAACTCTGGTGTTAACTAGAAACCATATTTTCAGAACATTAAAATTCAAGCAAGAAGAAATCTTAATAAAGTTCTACAGATGTTCATAAACCAAGGTCAGGCTCCAAAACTGTGATGTTTTGGAAGAGTTGTTACTCTCTGGGTCTCTGCTTCTGAAACCACAAGGAAAAGACAACTAAGGTTAAGCTTGAAGCCAGAGTCATGAAGAACCTGCAACAGAAGGATGGCTTGTGGTAGGCCAGATTCTGGGAGCCCAGCAGGCCTAAGTTTGAACCTGAGCTGTGTCAATTGAGCTAGTCTCTTAACCTCTCTGAGTCTGTTTCCTCATTCACAGAATAGATACAATAATTGTCAACTATTAGAGTACTGTGAGAATTAAATGCAAAAGGGAGTACACAGTGACACATACAGCCTGGGTAGTGGTAACTGCTATCCTTAGGTCAGATTATCATTATGATCAGCTTCCTTGCTATCTAAACACGGAACCTGCCAAGTTCCTGGTATATATGAGTCTAAGAAGATTCCCAGAGGAGAAGGCAAAGCTGGGGAGTGGAGAGTTATTGCTTAGTGGGTATAGATTTTAGTTTTGTAAGATGATAAGAGTTCTGGACATAGATTGACAACAGTGTGAATGTTCTTAACACTACTGAACTTATACACTTAAAAATGGTTAAAGTGGTAAACTTTATGTTCTGTGTATTTTACTAGAATTAAGTTTTTAACAAGCAAAAATAAATTATAGATCAGTGAGTTTAGAATGGGGTTTAGAAATTTATATGTTTTGACAATTGTCTCAGTTAATTCTGATGCCTACTATAGGCACCTGATATGGTTTTGTTGTGTCCCCACCCAAATTTCATCTTGAATTGTAGTTCCCATAACCCGGTGGGAGGTAATTGGAAAAAGGGGGTGGTTTCCTCCATGCGGTTCTCCTGATAGTGAATGAGTCTCATGAGATCTGATGGTTTTATAAGAATCTGACATTTCCCCTGCTTGCACTCACTCTGTCTTGCTGCCCTGTGAAGAAAGTGCCTTTCTTCCCCATTCTTCCCCTTCATCTCCTGCCATGACTATAAGTTTCCCAAGGCCTTCCCAGCCATGCAGAACTGAGTCAATTAAACCCCTTTTCTTTATAAATTACCCAGTCTTGGGTATTTCTTCATAGCAGCATGAATACGGACTAATACGGTATCTCATCCTTTTTTCTAACTTTTTATTTTGAAATAATTATAGATTCACCAGAAGTTGCAAAGATAACATAGAGAGGTCCTAGGTGCACTTCATCTAGTTTATCTTACATAATTATAGTATAATATCAAAAGCAAGTATTTGACATTGGTACTATGCATATATATGTTTTTATGTCATTCATCGTATGCATATATTTGTGCAAAAACTACCATAATAAAGATACAGAACTGTTCCACCTTAAAGATCATTCCCATACTTCTTTATATGCACTCATGCCACTCCCTAATCATCTCTAACTCCTGACAACCACTAATCTGTTCTCCATCTTTGTAATTTTGTCATTTTGAGAATGTTCTATAAATGAAATTATATAGCATGTGACCTTTAGAGACTGGTTTTTCTAACTCAGCATAATGCCCTGGCGATCCATCCAAGTATGCATCAATAGTTTGAGTCTTTTCATTGCTAAGTACTATTCCATAGTATGGATGTATGAAAGTTTATTTAGTCATTCATCTATTGAGGGGTATTTTGGTTGTTTCCAGTTTTTGGTTTTACAAATAAATCTTTTATGAATAATTGTGTCCAGGTTTTTCTCTTTAAGAGGCAGGATCCCTCTATGTTGCCCAGGCTAGCCTCAAACTTCTGGCCCCAAGGGATCCTGCTATCTTTGCCTCCCAAAGCACTTGTACAGGTTTTTGTGTGAACACAGTGGTTATTTCATTGGGACAAATGTTCACAATTATCATTGCTGGGTCATGAGGTAGTTGCATGTTTAGTTCTTAAGAAATTGCCAAATTGTTTTACTTTCTTCTTCTTCTTATTATTATACTTTAAGTTCTAGGGTATATGAGCATACGTGCAGGTTTGTTACATATGTATACTTGTGCCATGTTGGTATGCTGCACCCATCAACTCGTCAGCACCCATCAACTCGTCATTTACATCAGGTATAACTCCCAATGCAATCCGTCCCCCCTCCCCCCTCCCCATGATAGGCCCCAGTGTGTGATGTTCCCCTTCCCATATCCAAATGATCTCATTGTTCAGTTCCCACCTATAAGTGAGAACATGCGGTGTTTGGATTTCTGTTCTTGTGATAGTTTGCTAAGAATGATGGTTTCTAGCTGCATCCATGTCCCTACAAAGGACACAAACTCATCTTTTTTTATGGCTGCATAGTATTCCATGGTGTATATGTGCCACATTTTCTTAATCCAGTCTATCACTGATGGACATTTGGGTTGATTCCAAGTCTTTGCTATTGTGAATAGTGCCGCAATAAACATACGTGTGCATGTGTCTTATTAGCAGCATGATTTATAATCCTTTGGGTATATAACCAGTAATGGAATGGCTGGGTCATATGGTATATCTAGTTCTAGATCCTTGTGGAATCGCCATACTGTTTTCCATAATGGTTGAACTAGTTTACAATCCCACCAACAGTGTAAAAGTGTTACTATTTCTCCACATCCTCTCCAGCACCTGTTGTTTCCTGACTTTTTAATGATTGCCATTCTAACTGGTGTGAGATGGTATCTCATTGTGGTTTTGATTTGCCTTTCTCTGATGGCCAGTGATGATGAGCATTTTTTCATGTGTCTGTTGGCTATATGAATGTCTTCTTTTGAGAAATGTCTATTCATATCCTTTGCCCACTTTTTGATGGGGTTGTTTGTTTTTTTCTTGTAAATTTGTTTGAGTTCTTTGTAGGTTCTGGATATTAGCCCTTTGTCAGATGAGTAGATTGCAAAAATTTTCTCCCATTCTGTAGGTTGCCTGTTCACTCTGACGGTAGTTTATTTTGCTGTGCAGAAGCTCTTTAGTTTAATGAGATCCCATTTGTCCATTTTGGCTTTTGCTGCCGTTGCTTTTGGTGTTTTAGACATGAAGTCTTTGCCCGTGCCTATGTCCTGAATGGTACTACCTAGGTTTTCTTCTAGGGTTTTTATGGTATTAGGTCTAACATTTAAGTCTCTAATCCATCTTGAATTAATTTTTGTATAAGGAGTAAGGAAAGGATCCAGTTTCAGCTTTCTACTTATGGCTAGCCAATTTTCCCAGCACCATTTATTAAATAGGGAATCCTTTCCCCATTTCTTATTTCTCTCAGGTTTGTCAAAGATCAGATGGCTATAGATGTGTGGTATTATTTCTGAGGGCTCTGTTCTGTTCCATTGGTCTATATCTCTGTTTTGGTACCAGTACCATGCTGTTTTGGTTACTGTAGCCTTGTAGTATAGTTTGAAGTCAGGTAGCGTGATGCCTCCAGCTTTGTTCTTTTGACTTAGGATTGTCTTGGCAATGCGGGCTCTTTTTTGGTTCCATATGAACTTTAAAGCAGTTTTTTCCATTTCTGTGAA